TGGAATTGACATGTATACACTAATATGTATAAGATAGATAACTAATAATCTGCTGTATAAAAATAATTTAATTTTAAAGAAGTAAAATATGTTGCATAAAACATTTGTTTACTTTTGGCCACTTTTGGCTTTATTTTTATTTGCCGTGGCTTGTGAGATCTTCGTTCCCCGACCGGGGATTGAACCTGCACCCTCAGCAGTGAAAGAGCAGAGTCCTAACCACTGAACCACCACAGAATTCCCTAAATAGGATGTTAATTCTCTTTCAGACAAACACCTCTGTATGCGTCTTTTTCCCGGGCTGCTGGCCACGACCCCGTCTGTGATCTCCTTGAAGGGGTAAAATCTTCCGAGGGCATCTTCTTCAGAGCCGCATCAACACCTTCTCCCCCAGAGAGTTAACAAGCTGGGGGTGAACTGACCCTTGGCCTTGCGGGCCACCAAGTTGGGGCTCCCTGTCACCCCCTCCACCCTCTGTCCCTGGGGAAGCGGGCTGACCCTGCTTCCCTTGGCAGATGGGACTGTTTCTGCAGACGACAGAGGTGTTCTGCTCTGCCTTCTCTCTCGTCTCTGAGAAATGCTGGCACCCCCCAGCCCTGCAGCCCGCGAGCAAGGCCCGAACAGGTCAGTGACCGGGAGAGCAGCTTCATGGCCGAGGGCTGGACCTTCCCTCCTGCTGAGAGCTCAGAAGCTCTGGGCCAGGAACGGTGTCAGCAGGACACCTGGAGCATCTAGATCCTCCACGTGCCTTGGGAGTCTCCGTGCAGAAAAAGAAACTCTGAAAAACAGCCTCGAGGAATTTACGTTCTAACGGGGAAACAAAACAAATCCGTGTGCTCTTTGGAAGTATGGCAGGACCGCAGTGATGATGACCAACGATGCAGTTAGAGGAAGCAACGAGAGAGGAATGAACAGGTTAGACTGGGGTAGAGGTGAGGTTATTGAAGGGACAGGAAGAGGTGGCTTCAAACTCATGCTGAGGAGGGTAAGGGAGCAGGAGCAGGGCGGGCAGGGAGAGGGCATTGTCTCCTGGGCACAGAGCAGCTGGGGCGCAGCCTCACAGAGCAGGGCTGAAGGATCAGAAGAGGGGGGAGAAGCCTCTGGAGAAGCCTGGAAGGTGCAGCACTCGGTGAGGGTGGTGGAGAGGAGAGAATCGCAGGGGAGGTTTGTGTACACACAGCAGCAGCAGCCCCCGGTGCTCTAGGCAAACAGGTAATTCAGTGCATAGAAATCCTGAGAAGGAGGTGTGCTGTGTGTGTGTGTGTGTGTGTGTGTGTGTGTGTGTGTGTGTGTGTGTGCAAAGCACATTTCAGCTTTCTAACCCCAATACTTCCTGCTCTTCCAATAGGATGGGGGTAAGGTTAAGGCAGCACCTACAGAAAATTGCCAGTGGATCAGGCAAATGCCTAGAGGCTGACCAGGGCTGCTGGGGAAGCCACTGGGACAGTCTTTAACCCGGTCCTGCGAAGTCCCAGCTCATTTTCTGCTGAGTCAACAACACGTGACCAGGCTGACAGAGCACAGCTTCTTGAGGAAAGAGCTTCGTGCCCTGCAGTCCAGCTCCAGCCCAGGCACGGCCCAGGGCATGGGGCAAGGCTGGGTGGAACGAAATTGAAGGGTGGTGAGAAGGGCAGGGGAATCTATAAACAACTCTGAGGGGAGGTCACTGAGGTCTCCAGGCCCCCTCTCTAAGACGGTTCTAGAACCGACCAGTCTCTGAGACAAACCTGAAACCAGCCCAGTTAAGGTTGGTTTCTGATAGATCTGTCCGGTCCAGTTAGAGGGCCAGAAGCTCACAGCATGAGACCCACTGGGGGGGATCGTCTGAGTCAAGCTGGGTGAGTGTTGTCTCAGCAGACCTTTGTAGACTGTGGAGAAGGCGTGTAGGCCAATCGGGGGCGCCGTGACCCAGAACAGCAGCGCAGTGCTCGGCAAGCACCCCTGGGCACTCTGGGAGGCTGGGACCTGCCCCAGGAACCCAGGCGGCGGAGCAGAGGCAGGGAGGCCTCCTCCAAACCCCTGCTTTAGGACGAAGCCAAGTGCAGGGAGCCGGTTGCTGTGGAAGTTTTTCCACCCCCTGAAAAGGCGCAGGCGGTTTCCAGGCGGGGAGAGAGGGCACGCTAACCATGAAAACCCTCTGCAGGGACCCAGGCCCCCTGGCTTGGTTTTCAGCATGGCCCCCGACCAGCTACACGACCCAGGGTTAGACGCTGAACCTTGCTCTGATGAATGGGGCTTCCTGTAAAACTGGAAGCAGCGGCCCATTTTGCAGCCTTAGGGGCAGCATCAGCTCAAAGCGCTTGTAGGAGCCTGTGGCGTCCTCACAGGGAGGCCGGGAGGCCGCGTGGTCAGCTTCCTTTGGCCCTCTCCCTTCCTCTGGAAAACAAACCCCCAGGATGGGGTCACCATCCTGGATGCCGGAGAAGGGAGAGAATGCTTTTGTTCAGCACGGTCCTCAAAGGCAGACGACTCTAGGGGAACAGGCGTCCAGAGGCCTCCGAGAAAGAAGGTGAAAAAGAGAGGAAATGGTCCCCCGTAGGAACCTGTGGAGCTGGTTTCCGGGTGCCGGTCACAGGGCTCGGGAACTGGAGGGAAAAGGGAAGGATGGTTGTAGAGAAGGACCAGGGCGTGGCCCCAGATCAGTGCCCACCTGCGCCGGAAGGGCCTCGCTCAGACCCATCTTTGATCCACGGGGCTGCGCCCTGCCGAGCTGTGGCTGCAGGATAAGCCCAGGGCTTGACAGAGGAGGTGACCTTGGGCTCGGGGCTTCCAAAACAGGAGGAAAGATTATCCAGGCTCTTCAACTCCCCACTCATCCCTTGAACCCTTAGGGCCAAGAAACAATACCAAAGATGACAGGCCAGGAACTCAGGGCTGGAAGTCAGAAACAGGGCCCAGACCCAGGCTGGGGAAAACCGAGTGTGTGTATGCACATCTCTGCCTGTGCAACGGCAGTCACCGTCAGACACCTAAGAGAAGGACAGTGTGAGAGTCCAGACGCAGAGAGCAAAAACCAGCCTAAGAAAACGGTGTCCAAATGATGGCCTTTCTGGGGTGGGAGAGCAGGACAGAACAGTTCCTCAGGAGGGAGAATAAGCTGGCACAGACTCACCTGCTTGCTTTGGCCGCGGTGACACCACCTGGTGGGCGGATCATAAAGCCGTGTGTGGGGTGGGCCGCAGGTGAGGGAGCTTTCCGCAGGCACGGAGCAAGAAGCCCTGCCGACAGCTGGGGCGGGCTACACAGACTGGTTCTCGGACGCCAGACCCTTACGTCCTTGGTGTATTCACAGAGTAAGAAAGAGACTGCTTTCTCTTTGTTGATCTCAACAGCCAGGGGAAGGAAGGTGCGGCCTTAGCAAAGTCGAAATTGTAGTCACTAGGTGGCTTGAATCCGTTCCTGTCCAAAGGAGTTGTATGTTTTAAGCTCTCAGGCTTATGAGTTTTTGATATTTAAATTTTAAACAAGAGCCACCCTGAATAGTCACCACAGTACCTGACATTTTTAGCACTAATAAAAGATATAAAAACATGTCAAAAAGAAAAGAAATTGAAGTCACTGTCCATGTAAATGGAGGGAAGCAGGAAGCCAGATTACTAAAAACAAGCAGATCATTCCCGTGTAACTTTTTAAAAAGAAGTATATGATTTGTTTTACAGAACTAGTGACAGGCTTTAATTCCTAGTTGAGGCAATCATTAAAGTCAGTTTATATTTCCCCAGCCCACAATCGGGAATTACTGAGTAATTAATAATTGGGGGTCCATAAAAGGGGTTCTGTGCCCTGTAGGACATCACACGTGCACATGTCAGGGGAACGGTGACACAGACAGCCCCCGTGAGATCAGGCCTCGGGCCCGTCTGCAGGATAGTTGGGCAAGAAGCAGAGTCAGAGTTTTCTCTTTCGGAAGCCTGGAACCCACCTCTTTCCTGGTCTTATTAAAAGTAGGACATGATTTTAATCTTTTTTTTTTTTTTTAATAATTTCGTTTTATTTATTTATTTGACTTGCATTGGGTCTTCGTTTCTGTGCGACGGCTTTCTCTGATTGCGGCGAGCAGGGGCCACTCTTCATCGCGGTGCGCGGGCCTCTCACTTTCGCGGCCTCTCCTGTTGCGGAGCACAGGCTCCAGACGCGCAGGCTCAGTAGTTGTGGCTCATGGGCCCAGTTGCTCCGTGGCATGTGGGATCTTCCCAGACCAGGGCTCGAACCCGTGTCCCCTGCGTCGGCAGGCAGATTCTCAACCACTGCGCCACCAGGGAAGCCCTAGGACGTGATTTTAAGTTTAAAACCACAGAGCACATCTAGCCAAGTAGTTCTCAGTTTTTCTTTTGTTAAAAGTTGTAGGGCCCATCGTTCAAATGGATACTTACTATAGAAAAATACACAAGAACCAGTAAAAACGGTTCCCTGTAGCGGGTGGGGGCATTGGGTGGAGAGGGCGGGAGGGAAGCAAGACTTCTTTTCATATAGCTTGACTTTTGAAACCTACGAATTTATTGTCTCTTTGAAAAAGTAAAACAATTTTTTTAAAGCTGGAAGCTCACCATGTAAAGTGGCTACAGCAGAGCCCCCTGGGCAGGAGATGGTGGGAGGTGAGGGGGGCAGAGGCCCTGCTCCCATTTCTCTTGTGCTGTTTCCATTTGCTCTGCACTTGGACACCAGTGGGCCTGGCCTAATCTTACATGTTCCTTCTGGGGAAATTAAAGCCCAGGGAGCCAGGCCGTCTCTGGGTCTCTCTTTCCATAGGATGTATTCAAGAAGGGCTAAGTAGTACTCCATTGTATATAGGTACCATTCATCGGATTCAATATCCTGTGATGAACCATAATGGAAAAGAATACGAAAAAGAATGTATATATATGTATAAGTGAGCCACTTTGCTGTACAGCAGAAATTAACACAACACTGTAAATCAACTACACTTCAATTAAAAAATAGATTAAGAAAAAAAGAAGGGCTAGATATACTCCCCAGAAGAAAGAATACACCCAATCCTTTTTTGAAAGGTTTATTTTTAATTAAAAAATAAAAGTTACCTTAACATATCTGCATTGCAGCTTCAGGGATGGAAACTTAATGAAGCAAGAAAAACAAGGTTTATCAGTTCTTGGGTCACCTGACCACCTTACAATGGATACAAAGGCACACGTGTCTTCAAACAAACTTTATTCTATTAACTCAGAACTCCCTTCCCCCAACTCTTATTTGCCCACCCTCACCAACCCCCCCTGCCAAAAAAAAAAAACCAACCAAAAACATTAAATTCTCTTTTAAAACTACAGAAATAAGTGCTGAGTCAGCAAGGAACCTGGGCATGCTGCCCACTCCTGCATCCCACGCTGCTTTGACGGCTGGCTGTCCAGAGGCTGGCTGTCCAGAGGCTGGCTGGAGCATCCTCTGCCACACCGGGGGGCTTGGACCCGGACAGCCCCACGGCATCACCCCAGCTGGGGTCGGCAGTTCCAAGGCACTGTGTCCCTTAGTCAAGGGCATCCGTGGCTAAAGCAGCCTTTCAGGAAGAGCAGGCCAAAGCCAGCAAGTCTTCCTCAAAGTCTCGAGGTGAGACCTGTGGGCAGGAGGGAGGGAGCCGACGGTGGTCTTCTCCCCCCAAGTTACCGGCTATCGGAAGCTTTCCTCTCCCTGGTCTCCCTGCATTCTCTCTTTTCCTTCTTCCCAGTCTTCCCCTTCCCGCTCCCCGCAAGAGTTTTATTTTAGCTTGATGGCGGGGGTTCCAAAGAAGCTACTGGCAACTCCTGGGGCTGGCCTAGGGGCTCAGCCACCTCTGCGGGGACACCGTGCACTTTTGGTTCCTGCGTGTCACAGAGCCCCTCCTGGCCCTGGGAGGGCTCGCAGCGCTCCTTGCTCTGGGCCTGGCTCTTCAACTTCTCTTCAGCTTCAATCTCTTCTGATGTGGGGATGGAGTTCTTCTTGGGACGACCTTTGGGTTTTGTGGGCGCTTCCTGTCCACCTTTAAGAACCTACGTGGGAGAAAAACAGTCATCAGACCTGAGAAATAACTCCTTCCCTCCACTTTCCCACTCCCAAGGCCTCTAAACCATTCCTTCCCAGCAGTGAAGTCGCAAGTTATGGCAAAAAGTACTCTCCACGGGTCACCTGCAGTCTACAAAGACAGCTGCATCCGTGAAAGGCTCAATGCACTTTTAGTCAATATCACTTCTATTGGTATTAAATACAATGATCATAAGCACATGAAAAAATCCAACTTCAACGACGGGGAAGGAAATGAAAATTAAAATATGAATGTGACAACAAGTTGACAAGTTATAAGGAAAAGACAATACTTGTAGCAAACAGGAAAGTAAACACGCATATGCTAGTGTAAAAGTGTAACTGGTACAGCTTTTTCAAAAGACAATCTGAGACTGCAAATCAAAAGTCTGAAAATGTTCATACCCTTTGACACAGAAATTCCATTTCTAACAATTTAGCCTAAGGAAGTCATCAAAGATTGGGACAATGATTGATGTGCAAAAATGTTCATCACAAAATTGGTTATAATGGCAAAAATCGGTTCTAACAGCAAAAAACCATACTCTAAGGCTTCCACCCTATGATTGAATGCATAATTATAGTATATGGCAAAGAGAGAACACTTGAAAACCATTACAGCCATTATATAGGAGAATGTATAACAACATGGGAAATATTATTAATATATTTTTGTGAAAAACGGGTTCTAAACCAGCATAATTTCATTTGGTGGCTAGACAACTGCACACCACCCTGTTTGTAGTCTCAGGATCATGGATAATTTAAAATTTTTTCATTGTTTTTTTCCCTGTACTTTCTAGTTTTTCAGCAATGATCATGTATAAGTATTTCTGAAATCAGAAAAAAAAGACGTCATGAAACATGGTTTTGTAGTGTTCAAAGAGGCAGTAGCGCACAGAAGAGAGTGTTCTAGCTTCGAAAGTGGAATAACTAGATTAAATTCTAACTGTGCTCCTTATCCACTTTCTCTCTGGGAGAGTCCTTTAAAGACTCTGAGCCTCAGTCTCCTAATCTGTAAAATGGGGATAAGCATACTTTCCTGCATAGGGCAATGGTGAGGGGAACCAACAGGTAATGTAGGGTAAGGGCCAGAAGTGTTCCTGAGTGTTCCAGAATCTGCCTCCCACCCTCCTTGCCTGGGTGACTCCACTGAGACAGTGCCTCTCCTGGGAGCCTGACCGGACCTCCCAAGTCCAAGTTAAATGCCCTATGAACATCCTGTCAGAGCACTTTTCCGATACGCCTGTCACTGCATGTTTACTTGCCTGTCCCTCCCACCCATTCCCTGCACACAGCAGGCGTTCAACGGCTGTCATCGAATGAACTAACCTTTCTCAACAGGCCTTTCCATAGAATTGAAGAAAGATATAAAGTAAGCAAATAATGATAACCCAATGGCCTTTACTGATTGCAAATGACTTGCACATTTACTATCCCAATTCGTGGCTTACATAAGAGTCCCATGAGGTGGGCAGGGATAATTAAAAAAATATTTTTATTACTTTGGGTTATAACAGGCACTCCTTCTTCCACTGGCTCTGAACTCTGGCTGGTGTAGCTGTTGACCTGGGCAGCTCGTGGGAAGGGCTTCAGGAGGACCTGGATTAGCACAGATAATCAGAAGTGGGATGTACTTTCGTTACTTCCGCACCTTTTGTAATCTCAGCTTCCTCATTTGAACAGAAGCTCTTTGAAGGTAAATCCTGCATCTCTTCCTTGCTGTGTGCTCCAAGCATCTAACTTCCACCTAACTTTCTATGCAGTTGTTAAATATTTACTGACTATATCTCTTTCCTCTAAGAGCAGCAGAAGACCTCTGGGTGCTGAATTGTAAGAATGAATGTAGTAACTTGATAAACCATAAATTCTTTTTTTTAGAAAAAGCTTTATTGAGATATAATTCACATACCACACATTTCATTCATTTATAGTGCACAACTTAGTGATCTTTTGAATAGTCACAGAATTGTGCAGCTCTCATCAGAATCCAACTTTAGAACATTTTCATCACCCCCAGAAAGAAAGCCCATACCTGTTAGCAGCTACTCCCCATGTCTCCCCTGCCCCCCAACCCTAGGCAACCATGAATCTGCTTCCTGTTTTTACAGATTTGCCTGTCCTGGACATTTCATATGAAGGGAAACATACAACGTGTCGTCCTGTGTGACTGGCTTCTTTGACTTGTTTCCAAGGTGCATCCATGTTGTGGCATGTGTCAGTACTTCATTCCTTTTTTTGGCCAAATAGTGTCCATTGTATGGACATACCACAATGTGCTTATCCATTCATCAGCTGACGGCCACTTGGATTGCTTCCACCTTTTGAATACTGTGAGTAACGCTGCTGTGAATGCTGGTGTACAGATACCTGTTTCCGTCCCTGCTTTCACTTCTTTTGAGTATATGACCACAAGTGGAATTGCTGGGTCGAATGGTAAGTCCGTGTTTAACCTTTGGAGGAATTTCCAGGCTGTTTTCCAAAGCAGCTGCCCCCGTTCCATTCCAATTATCAGAATATGAGGGTTCCAGTTCTGCTCATCCTCGCCAACACTTGTTATTATGTCTTTTTGATTCTAGCCATCCTAGCGGGTGTGACGTTGTACTGCATTTTATTTTATTTTATTTTATATATATTTTTTGCGGTACTCGGGCCTCTCACTGTTGTGGCCTCTCCCCTTGCGGAGCACAGGCTCCAGGCGCGCAGGCTCAGCGGCAGTGGCTCACGGGCCCAGCCGCTCCGCGGCATGTGGGACCTTCCCGGACCGGGGCACGAACCCGCGTCCCCTGCATCGGCAGGCGGACTCTCAACCACTGCGCCACCAGGGAAGCCCTATAATTCATTTTGAGTTAACTTTTGTATGTGGTGTGAGGAAAATCGTAAGTTCTCAATAAAAGCCTCCTTTTAGCTGGGCATCTGCTCAGCCACTGTACTTTCAACCCAAACAGCTAACACAGAGATGTGAAGGGGACCTCTAACAAGATATAGATGCTGACAGAATCAATCTCTGGGCAGAAGATGCCCCTACATTCCTTTTCATATAAGTCAGTATCTGATTTTGATTTCAGTCTGAGCACAGGCTGTTGAAAGCGCCCAGATGTGCTGAGATGAAGTTGACATGTTGAAAGCAGCCCCACCGGCTATGAAGGAGGTTATACACACACAACTGAGTTGCTCTGCGTAGTAATCAAGTTATAAAAGGGCAGGTCTAAGGAAGCCGCCTAATTGGCAAAAGAAAGTCCAGCCCAGGGCTTCCCTGGTGGCGCAGTGGTTGAGTCCACCTGCCGATGCAGGGGACACGGGTTCGTGCCCTGGTCCGGGAAGATCCCACATGCCATGGAGCGACTGGGCCCGTGAGCCATGGCCGCTGAGCCTGCGCATCCGGAGCCTGTGCTCCGCAGCGGGAGAGGCCACAACGGTGAGAGGCCCGCGTACCGCAAAAAAAAAAAAAAGTCCAGCCCGGCAATTAGAGAACACCACGTACACAGCTTGGCTAGACCCCACCTGGCTGTTTTCCTACAGCAGGAAAAAAAATCAAGACCATCAGACCATTTTCTAAATGGAATAGAACATTCCAGCACAAGCAATAACTAGGAGATAACTACCCTCTTGGCTGCTTTCCACACTTGACCTCTGGCCCCTGCCTCTGAGCATACCTGTGACATGCAGTGATCTCACAACCACCCCACACCAGCAGCTACACACTCGCGTGCCCCCTGCGGCCCTTCTCCCAGGACCCCTCCTCCCCAGGCATCCCCAGAGCCCATTTAGTCCCCTTGGTCCAGAGAGGCCAGACAACCCCTTGCTGGTGAGGTCACACACCTCTGGGAAGAACACCTAGCACACCATCTACTTTTATTAGCCAGGCCCGCTGGCAGCCTCCTTCGAACTCTAAAACTAGATTCTTCCATGTCCTCCTGCTGAGGATGTCAGGACCAGACCTCTCCGTCCTTCCGGATGGGCACAGGTGGCTGGGGGACAGGCACTTTGATTGGAGAGCCTGGAGGTCAGAGAGGAACCTTCTACCTCTCCTATTTTTCAGGCAGGAAACTGAGCAGACAGAGTGGTTTGTCATGGTGGAAAAGCAACCTAAGGCAGAGCTGGGATATGAACACAAAACCCTGATCATTTGAATCTGACAAACACTTTTTTTTTTTTTTTTAATTTTTTTGGCTGTGCCACACGACATGTGGGATCTTAGTTCCCCGACCACGGATTGAACCCATGCCCCCTGCAGTGGATGCACGGAGTCCTAACCACTGGACTGCCACGGACGTCCCCTGAACCTAACACGCTTATCAGTATTTCATTGCATGTATGTAATGTGCAAGGAATGTGTACAATGTGAAGCTGATATTTCTTTTCATTATTATTTATTTACTTTTTGGCTGCATTGGGTCTTAGCTGCGGCACGCGGCGTCTTCATTGATAGTCCATTGTGCTGCGCGGGCTTCTCTCTAGTCGTGGCGTGCAGGTTTTCTCTTCTCTAGTTGTGGCGCACAGGCTCCAGGGCACGTGGGCTTTGTAGTTTGCAGCAAGCGGACTCGAGCTGAGGTGCACGAGCTCAGTAGTTGTGGCGCGAGGGCTTAGTTGCCCTGCGGCATGTGGGATCTTAGTTCCCTGACCAGGGATCAAACCCATGTCCCCTGCGTTGTAAGGCGGATTCTTTACCACTGGACCACCAGGTGCAGCTGATATTTCTGACTCCAATATTTATCTGCACTTACCCGATCTCCCAGCAGATCCTAGGCCACGGACTCATTAACCCAGTGCTTTTTTTTTGCCCCTTTTTCTCTATCTTTATCTGCAGCTGTAGGGAACGGTAAGAGCCATGTAACTGACAATATTTTCCCCAAAGCTGAGAAGTTTGCAGTCTCCAGTAGGGATCTCTCCCCAGCACACTGTTTAGCAGATTTTCCGCCTGTAGGTGGGATGTTCCACTCAATTCAAGCCTGAATGCTAAGGCGCTGACAGGGGAAGGCTGGCGGGCGAGGAATGAGGACGCACAAACGCCCAGGACTGTCTTAACCAGAGTCCCGGCAGCCTACAGAATTCATTTTCGGGTTATCTCTCCTGGCCTCCAAAAGTTTACATTTTCGGGAGACATGAATTCTGTGGAGAGGTAAATAATTCTAAAAACATAAGAAGAACAAGAATAACAGCTAACATTTCTTGGCTGTATCCTGTGGGGTAGGCACTGTTCCGAGTCCTACAGGGATTGGCTCAGTTACCTCATCCTCATCCCTATAAGGTGGACGTTAGGCATTTAATGATGAAGAGACAGGCATGCAGAGGTTAAGTCACCTGCCCACGATGACACGAGTAGCAACTGGTAGCAGCTTCCTGGGGCTGTTGGCTAGCTGGAGACTTTCGGTGAGAAAGATGACGATGCACGGGGTATGTGGCCCACCCGGTTCCGTGACTAGGAAAGGAAGGTGCCGCCCATCTGGACCCTCTCACGGAACACAACTGTACTTTGGAGCTGAAAAATACCACTGAATGATGAGGTACTTCCGGTCCGCTGCAGAGCCCAGTGGACCCTGCTGGAACCAAAGCCAAGCAGAAACGGGATGGAGGGTGAGCATCCCACCGAATGTGCAAGGTCACATTTTCCTAACCTGCTATAGGTCACACATGTTGACTGGTAAAAACTAGTCAGAGATGCTATCTTGGTTCTGGCAGCGCTGTCCTTGGCAGAGTGCAAATAACTCTGAGAAGCAAGTGCTAATCTTTTTCCAGTTCCGATGAGGTTACTTGCCTTGAGACATCTTTCTTACTCAATTATCCTTTTCTTCCCCAGTCCCTGCAGAGACAGCCTTGAAAGAGTTTTACCAGGAGAAACTATGAAGCAATCAGGTTCCCAACAATGCCTTGCTGTCCTGGAGGAGTAAGGATGTGACCCACACCCAAGCCAGTTCGCTCTCATCTTCACTCCGGCCGTTCTGAGGTCCTTCTTGCGCCCCATGTACTCCTGTGACACCCTGCCCACTTTCACCTGGCACGTGTCTATTCATCCGCTAAACCCAATTTAGATGGCACCTCTTCTGGGAAGCCGTCCCTTCTCTACTGATTCTGAACCTTGTCAGTCCTTCCACTGTTGCCCTGATCACTCTGAATAACGAGCGGCTTACAGGTCTGTCTCCCCCACGTGACTGAGTACCTTCTTTGAATTTTATTTTTTAATGGATGGGTTGGCGTCTTATGGTCGCATCTCCATTGCCTGGTGAAAGTAAGTGCTCACGAGATGAAATGAAATGGAGTCTTGTTTCCCAAAGGGGCCTGAATCTGGTTGGCCTGTGGAATGCTCTCTGAAGTTAAATGTGCGAAGTTACTTCCATTTTGTTTCATACGACATTGATAACCATCGACACCCTGCCCACGGCTGCGCCAGCCGCGCAGTGGCTGGTGGAAAACAGGTGACGTCAGCGGCAGAGGCACACGTGTCCCCCCCACGGGCACCAGGCGATGCTGGCACAGATGGCAGGCTGTCAGTTCATTCACCGTCTGACGCATGAAAAGATTGCTGATAACCAACTTAAACAATGCCTCTGCCACTCAGGAGACATTGATTTCGACGATAATGATGGACAGGGAAGGAGGTGGGTGGTGGAACTTGCACAGAAAGCAGTGAAGAGACTTGCCCAAAACCAGCCAGGGAGGGGCACGCCTGGGAACACGGCCCAGTGTTTCCAGCTCCCAAATCTGGTTCCCTTAGAGATCAATCCCCCAGAAGGTTTCATGGGTGGCTTAGCAGTCTAGAAGTTGGGGAGCAACAGTATATTTAACTGAATCTTATTTATCCTTCAATTTCACCTTCTCCCTGCAACCTGTCCCAATACCTGTCCTCTGGACTCTTTCGTACGGGGTTCTAAATCTACAAATAAACCACCAGCACTTAATTACAGTGTGTGCGCCTCTGCTGCTTCCTGGACCACCTTCTTCAAGTGGATCATAAATCCCACGAAGACAGGGCTCTGTTTTGTTCCATGACTTTCTATAGTGCCTAGGACGAGGCGTGGTTCACAAGAGACACTGAACACGTATCTGTTGATGCATGCAGTATATGTGTGTTTGTACATGTGTCTGGCATTGCCGCCTCACTGGGAGAGCATTCATGGGCCAGGCCGCCTCCATCTGAAAATCCTTCCACCTCGGGGGCAAGTCCCCCCAGAGGAAAGGATGAAATTTGCCCAGGAATTTTTTTTTCTAGGGATATAAGAAATGCTGCCTTAGTGGCTTTCTTCCCATTTCCATTAATACTCATTTGCAATTTATTTATTTAGTCTTCTCTTTTTTAGCAGGCAACAGCAAGAACTAAAGTTTTCAGAAAAAAAAAATATTGGACAGAAACAAAATTGAGAAAACTCAAAATCTACTACCTATTTTCAAAATATACTGATTAACTTTTTTTTTTTTTTTTTTTTTCCTGAAAACTAGGTGGTAGGGGGACCTTAGTTATTTGGTAATTGTGAAAAAAATTCATATTCCAGCCCTTGAGACACCAGGAAACATGACTTGTGAGCAGATGGCTTAGCAAATTGGAACGTCATGCAGGCAGGCCTGAGCTCCTGAGAGGAGAGGGGGCCAGTGGGATCCAGCGAGGATGTGCAAAGGCCTGGGTCAGAGGCCACGGTGCACGTGGTCTCTAAAGAATCGGAGCAAGGGGTCTTCCCACCCTCATCCCAACCCTCCTCTTTTCTCTGGGCTTTGACCTTGACCCTTGGGGTTTACAAAACTGGAAGTGAAACCCAACTACTTTGGATTTAACTGTGCTTTTTCAAAAAAAGAGGGGTGGTAAACCATTATGAAATAGAGCTCCTCAAAATGTAGAGATGTTTATTCTTTTTTTAAAGAGATGTTTATACTAATAAGTTCATTTAAAAACCAAATATGGATCAGCTCATCAGCTAGGCACAAGAGCAGTATTAGGGAAACCAGAGTCACTATACCATGTGTATCAGAGGAAACTGGGTGCTGGTTAACACCCCCTGTCCTGGGAACAGGACAGGGAAGCAGAATCCTGGAGGGGGCCTCAAGTTCTGCATTTGTACCTGCCACCCAGGTTACTCTGACCCCGCCCACTAGAGCTGAGAATCACTGCATTAGGGGGGACACACAGCTACAAGAGCAGATGTGCCCTGTATATCCTCTAAACAAAGAGGACTGACTTCTACTCCTAGCTATTGGTGGGAGGGGGAAGGAAGTTCTTTGAAAAGTCTAGCAGGTGGGGTTAAAACCCGCAACTGAGGAGCTTGGGGGCTTTCTTTTTATTTCTAATGAAACTGTGAAAAAGAATATCCTTCTGGTCGGGAAATCCAGGTCAGAAAGAATGGCTTATCCTATTAATTCAAACAGCCTCCCTCCTAGCCAGCATCTTAAAAGGCCTTCCAATCTCTGGAGCTCAAACCACCAAAATGGTCCTTCCTGCCTTCTTACCAGCCCTGTAAGAAGAATTTCTCGTGTCATGATGGGTCCATGGTAAGACCTACTCTCTTTCTTACCATTTTCTTCCATTTCATCCTGCGATTCTGGTACCAAGTCTTCACCTGCAGTTGAGTGAGTCCCAGAGACTGGGCCAAGTCCAACCTACAAGGCACGAGAGACAGAGGAAGGATGAGGAAGAGGGGAAAGGGCAGCAAAGGCGGGGTCCTGTTGGCTACCTCTAGGCACTGCTACCAACGCGTGGACCCCAGTCTTCCCCTTCCCGCTCCCCGCAAGAGTTTTATTTTAGCTTGATGGCGGGGGTTCCAAAGAAGCTACTGGCAACTCCTGGGGCTGGCCTAGGGGCTCAGCCACCTCTGCGGGGACACCGTGCACTTTTGGTTCCTGCGTGTCACAGAGCCCCTCCTGGCCCTGGGAGGGCTCGCAGCGCTCCTTGCTCTGGGCCTGGCTCTTCAACTTCTCTTCAGCTTCAATCTCTTCTGATGTGGGGATGGAGTTCTTCTTGGGACGACCTTTGGGTTTTGTGGGCGCTTCCTGTCCACCTTTAAGAACCTACGTGGGAGAAAAACAGTCATCAGACCTGAGAAATAACTCCTTCCCTCCACTTTCCCACTCCCAAGGCCTCTAAACCATTCCTTCCCAGCAGTGAAGTCGCAAGTTATGGCAAAAAGTACTCTCCACGGGTCACCTGCAGTCTACAAAGACAGCTGCATCCGTGAAAGGCTCAATGCACTTTTAGTCAATATCACTTCTATTGGTATTAAATACAATGATCATAAGCACATGAAAAAATCCAACTTCAACGACGGGGAAGGAAATGAAAATTAAAATATGAATGTGACAACAAGTTGACAAGTTATAAGGAAAAGACAATACTTGTAGCAAACAGGAAAGTAAACACGCATATGCTAGTGTAAAAGTGTAACTGGTACAGCTTTTTCAAAAGACAATCTGAGACTGCAAATCAAAAGTCTGAAAATGTTCATACCCTTTGACACAGAAATTCCATTTCTAACAATTTAGCCTAAGGAAGTCATCAAAGATTGGGACAATGATTGATGTGCAAAAATGTTCATCACAAAATTGGTTATAATGGCAAAAATCGGTTCTAACAGCAAAAAACCATACTCTAAGGCTTCCACCCTATGATTGAATGCATAATTATAGTATATGGCAAAGAGAGAACACTTGAAAACCATTACAGCCATTATATAGGAGAATGTATAACAACATGGGAAATATTATTAATATATTTTTGTGAAAAACGGGTTCTAAACCAGCATAATTTCATTTGGTGGCTAGACAACTGCACACCACCCTGTTTGTAGTCTCAGGATCATGGATAATTTAAAATTTTTTCATTGTTTTTTTCCCTGTACTTTCTAGTTTTTCAGCAATGATCATGTATAAGTATTTCTGAAATCAGAAAAAAAAGACGTCATGAAACATGGTTTTGTAGTGTTCAAAGAGGCAGTAGCGCACAGAAGAGAGTGTTCTAGCTTCGAAAGTGGAATAACTAGATTAAATTCTAACTGTGCTCCTTATCCACTTTCTCTCTGGGAGAGTCCTTTAAAGACTCTGAGCCTCAGTCTCCTAATCTGTAAAATGGGGATAAGCATACTTTCCTGCATAGGGCAATGGTGAGGGGAACCAACAGGTAATGTAGGGTAAGGGCCAGAAGTGTTCCTGAGTGTTCCAGAATCTGCCTCCCACCCTCCTTGCCTGGGTGACTCCACTGAGACAGTGCCTCTCCTGGGAGCCTGACCGGACCTCCCAAGTCCAAGTTAAATGCCCTATGAACATCCTGTCAGAGCACTTTTCCGATACGCCTGTCACTGCATGTTTACTTGCCTGTCCCTCCCACCCATTCCCTGCACACAGCAGGCGTTCAACGGCTGTCATCGAATGAACTAACCTTTCTCAACAGGCCTTTCCATAGAATTGAAGAAAGATATAAAGTAAGCAAATAATGATAACCCAATGGCCTTTACTGATTGCAAATGACTTGCACATTTACTATCCCAATTCGTGGCTTACATAAGAGTCCCATGAGGTGGGCAGGGATAATTAAAAAAATATTTTTATTACTTTGGGTTATAACAGGCACTCCTTCTTCCACTGGCTCTGAACTCTGGCTGGTGTAGCTGTTGACCTGGGCAGCTCGTGGGAAGGGCTTCAGGAGGACCTGGATTAGCACAGATAATCAGAAGTGGGATGTACTTTCGTTACTTCCGCACCTTTTGTAATCTCAGCTTCCTCATTTGAACAGAAGCTCTTTGAAGGTAAATCCTGCATCTCTTCCTTGCTGTGTGCTCCAAGCATCTAACTTCCACCTAACTTTCTATGCAGTTGTTAAATATTTACTGACTATATCTCTTTCCTCTAAGAGCAGCAGAAGACCTCTGGGTGCTGAATTGTAAGAATGAATGTAGTAACTTGATAAACCATAAATTCTTTTTTTTAGAAAAAGCTTTATTGAGATATAATTCACATACCACACATTTCATTCATTTATAGTGCACAACTTAGTGATCTTTTGAATAGTCACAGAATTGTGCAGCTCTCATCAGAATCCAACTTTAGAACATTTTCATCACCCCCAGAAAGAAAGCCCATACCTGTTAGCAGCTACTCCCCATGTCTCCCCTGCCCCCCAACCCTAGGCAACCATGAATCTGCTTCCTGTTTTTACAGATTTGCCTGTCCTGGACATTTCATATGAAGGGAAACATACAACGTGTCGTCCTGTGTGACTGGCTTCTTTGACTTGTTTCCAAGGTGCATCCATGTTGTGGCATGTGTCAGTACTTCATTCCTTTTTTTGGCCAAATAGTGTCCATTGTATGGACATACCACAATGTGCTTATCCATTCATCAGCTGACGGCCACTTGGATTGCTTCCACCTTTTGAATACTGTGAGTAACGCTGCTGTGAATGCTGGTGTACAGATACCTGTTTCCGTCCCTGCTTTCACTTCTTTTGAGTATATGACCACAAGTGGAATTGCTGGGTCGAATGGTAAGTCCGTGTTTAACCTTTGGAGGAATTTCCAGGCTGTTTTCCAAAGCAGCTGCCCCCGTTCCATTCCAATCAGCAGAATATGAGGGTTCCAGTTCTGCTCATCCTCGCCAACACTTGTTATTATGTCTTTTTGATTCTAGCCATCCTAGCGGGTGTGACGTTGTACTGCATTTTATTTTATTTTATTTTATATATATTTTTTGCGGTACTCGGGCCTCTCACTGTTGTGGCCTCTCCCCTTGCGGAGCACAGGCTCCAGGCGCGCAGGCTCAGCGGCAGTGGCTCACGGGCCCAGCCGCTCCGCGGCATGTGGGACCTTCCCGGACCGGGGCACGAACCCGCGTCCCCTGCATCGGCAGGCGGACTCTCAACCACTGCGCCACCAGGGAAGCC